CCACAGCCACACAGCTCATCGGTAGCCAGGATTCACACCAGGCAGTCCCGGCCACTCTGTCTTCTTTCTTTTTTGAATTCATGACGGTACCTGCAATAGAGAGAGACAGAGATAAAGAGACACGCAGAGAGAAATCAGCCCCCCTGTCTAATCAGGCTGTGCTCCACTTCCTCCAGACCACCTCATCAGGACTTTGGGCCCATGTGCACTCCCAGGCTGGGGATCCAGATCTGAACTGTGGTCAGTCACGTGGTTTCCAGGTGCAGACCTGTCCCTTACCCTGTCCACTTAAACCACTGTCATTCAGCATCCCGGCTCCAAATACAGTATTTCCTTATACTTCTTAAACGTTTTCATATTTTTTCATTTTATTTTATTTATTATTACTATTTTTTTTTAAATTTTTTGCTATAGGGCACATGTGCTTGTGGGGGAGGGGCTGAGAAAGCAAACTGCCAGATCCAGGACTTGAACCACAGACCATCATGTGGGAGTCTAGCACCTCAACCGCCACACCATCTGCTGGCTCTTTTCCTTATACTTTCTATGCTTACTTTTTTACATGAATCATCCATGTTTATTGTAAAGAAACTGGAAAATACAGCCAAGAAAAAAGAAAGTCAGGCCCTTGGTTATCACCTAGAACAAAAAGCCCTGGGGACACCTTAGCCTGCCAACGCCTCCGCACTCGGCGCCTTCCAGACTTTTTCTTTTCTTTTTTTTTTTTTTTAATAATTACTTATTTTATTTATTCATTCATTTATTTTTTAATTTGACCAGAAAGAGACAGAGGGCGAGAATGAGAGAGGAAGTAGAAAGCAAGCCACCAGATTCAGGACCCGAACCCTCGTCAGTCATGTGGGAGTGCCCAGCGCCTTAACCACTACACCACCTGCTGGTCCCCCTTCCAGCCTTTTTCTAAGCACAAGCACGGGTTCCTTTACAAGAAGGAATCATTTTGCAACTCATTTTCTTCCCCTTACCTTAAGTCAGGGGACTTAAGCAACAAACATTCGTCTATATTGTGTCTTTCAGTTCTGAAATGTTCATTTGTCTTACATGCATTCATATATAAAACGTACCTGGGGACCAGCGGTTAGCATGATGGCTATGTCTCTCTGTCTGTCTCTGTCTGTCTGGCGAGCATACGCACCCTATAGCAAAAACCTCTCCAATAAATAAATAAATAAATAAATAAATAAATAAATAAAACGTACCTGTACACTAATAACGCAAAGAATGCTGGGTGTGCCCACCCCAAGGTTCAGGTGCCTAGGAGCCCCTGGAGTCCTGTCCAGTGAGTCAGCTCCACCTTGACTTCCGGTCAACATGCCCTGTGTCCCTTTACCGGGCACTAGACTGGTCCACTGTGAGCAGCAGAGAGGCAGCCAGGCCCAACAGGGACAAAGACCAGAAGCCTCCGGGAAGGCAAAGCTCAGCTGGGCCTTGGGGGCGCGACTAGTACCCACCTGTCACAAATCAGGGTGGAAGTGAGGCGCCCCTGTGGGTGCCAGCCGGGCTGTGGCATGGACATTCAGTAGCGGTGAGAACTTGTGCTTCTGAGCTCACTACGCCCTGTGTTCGGCTCTCAGGAGCAGGGCAGGTGTCCTCAGCTGACAGGGAGAGAGCACGGAGGAGAGGACAGGCCTGCACCGGAGCAAGGCCAGCCACGTGCAGGTGAGCCAGGCTCACGGGTGTTCTGTTCTTAAACGGGCAGCTCAGTGGCAGCAGGGATCTTGGCAATGAGAGTTTTCAATCCCTCTCTCTTTTTCTTCCAAAAAAATTTATTCTCATTCACTTATTTATTATTTTTCCAAATTCTGCCAGATGGCACATGCACTCTCCAGAGACAGAGAGAGAGAGAGAGAGGGAAAGTGGTCGCCCTGCAATCCCTTCTCCTCCATCTCTCTCTCCTTTTGGGATTTTGGGTATGCACGCACATGCACCTGGCATGTTTCTCAAGCCATGAGGTTCTAGCCTCAAACCAAGCAGTCAGCTGTATGGGATCAAGCTGCCTTAACCGTCACCCCGCAGGCCGGCCTTGTTTGCTTGTTTATCAAGTTTCTTTCTTCCATGAATGAAAGAGGCAGAGAGGCACTCTCTCAAGGTCTTCCTGCTGTCCTCCACCCCAGTTCAGCCCGTCCTGGATCACGGGTACACAGCTCCCCTGGACTGTCTCCTAGGGTCTCTCCTCCACCTGCACCTCTACCCTGGGGGTGCCCTTGACGCCTCCCCTGGGCGGGCCCTCGTTTCCTGAATTGCACATCTTCCTCCCTCCTGGTTCCCCTTTGTGCCACGAGCCCGGGCTCTTGAGCCAGAGCACATGGAGGGAAACGCTGGTGAAATTCATGTTCCGCCCTGGTGGCCTACGCCCGGCTGCGATGCCTGCCGTGCGGCCTGGAGACTCTGATCTGTCGTGATTCCTGGAAGACGCTAAGATCTGGGGCCCCAGAGTTCTGAAGATTCACTTTGATATTCCCCTGTGGATCTAATTTCATCCACTGTGTGGACACTCAATAGATGCTTTCAATCTGAGAACTCACTTCTTTATATTCAGAAAGTGACTTATGTCGTGGGTAATTTCCTTCCCTCTGTTTCCTCGCTTCTCTTTCTGGAACTCCAGCTATTCAGAAACCAGCCTCCTAGGCTGCTTTCTATCTTCCTGTTCTTGCCCATTTTTCATGTTTTGCTTTTTTGCTGTACTTCCTATGAGGTTTCCTCAACATTCTTTTTTTGGCCTTCTATTGAGTTTCATTTGTTTTTCTAGAATGTTTTACATTTATTTTTACTTATTATTATTTTTTAATTCAATCAGACAAAGAGAGAGAGAGCAAGCTGCGAGGTCCAGGACTTGAACCACAGTTGGCCATGTGGGACTCCAGTGCCTTAACCACTATGGCACCTGCCAGCCCTCTCTATTGAGGTTTTTAACTCCGTTCTCCTGTTTTGTTTTGTGTGTCGTTGCCTGAGGGCATGTGTGTTCACCAGAGAGAGACAGGGAGACAGGGTGATGGAGAAAGCACCCCTCAACGGGGCAATGTTCTACACTACAATCCCTCCTTCCCATTTCTCCATCTTGTTGGGGTTTTGGGGGCACATATGGGTGCACACTTGTGCTTGGAATATTTTCAAGCCACTGGGACCACAATTTGAACTGTGGTTGGCCACATGGCTCCCTTAACCACGAGGCTACAGGGCCAGTCCACTCTCCTAATTTTAATTTCCAATTCTGTCCTTCTGTTTTTCATTTCAAAATTATTCAATAACTTTTAAAATCTCCTGTTTATTTTTTGTTTTCTGAAAAAAAATGTAAGGTTTTTGCCATAGAAGATGTGTGCTCACCTGAGAGAGACAGAGACAGTGAAAGGGAAATTGAGACATCACTCACAGGGGGAATGGCCATGCCACAATCCCTCCAATCTCCTCCTGAGATTTTGGACGTTGCCACACACATGCCTAGTGTGAATTTCAAGCTGCTGGGTCCAGGACTCAAACCATGGTTGATCACATGAGGGTCCAGTACTCCAACCACCAGGCCACCTGCTGGCCCCCTGAATGTTCTTTTTTTTAATAGCTTCCTGTTTCATGGATATAGTGTCTTCTTTTACTTCTTAAAGATTATTAATGATTTTATTAAAACAATTTTCTTCTCTCTTCATAGTTCCTGAATCTTCTATCTTGATTTATTTCTCCTTATAACAGGCTTTCCTCAGATGCTTGCATTTTTCTAAATAATTATTTATTTAATTAATTCCATTTGCCATTATTATTTTTTAATTTGATAAGACAGAGACAGAGAGAAAGAAAGGGAAAGTGAGAAAGCAAGCTATCAGGTCTAGGACTTGAACCGCCGTCGGCCATGCGAGAGTCCAGTGCTTTTAAAACCATGCCAACTGCCAGCCCCTGCTTGGGAAGTTTTAGCTAGCTGCTCAAGACTAAAATGAATGAACAGCATCACTGTAAGGTGAACGTGGTGGGTCATTTGTCTGGACCCTTCCTGGGTTGTCAATGTTTTCGTTTTAGATTCCCTGGTCAGATTCCCTCCTGTTCCTTGACTGAAGGGTCAGAGTCTGGCTCTGGGATCTGGAAGCTCGGGGACCTCACCGGAGCAGGTCTGTGCACCCAATACTCAGTGTCGACCTGTTTCAGCAGAGTACTCACACTCATTGCTTTCCCTGTCCCATCTAAAGATGTTTTCCTTTGACCCTTTCAGAGTTAAACTCCAGCTGTTTGCCAGAGCTGGGAGAGGCATCACCCAGTGTTCTAGTCCATTCTGTGCTAATAGCAAAAATTACCTGAGTTTGGGTAATTTATACAAATAGAGATTTGTTCAGCTCAAGGTCCAGGGTCCACATTTGTTGAGGGTCTCAGAGGGGGAGGGGCAAGAGCCCTCACCTCTGTGTCCATGTGTCTCTGTTCAGGTCCCATCTCCTCTCCTTATAAACCCATGGGGGCCACTTAAGGGGGCCCTAGTCTGGTGACTTTAATCCTAATCTTCTTCCAAAGGCCTCACCTTTCAACGTCAGAGATCTAGTTTTTCACCCTCTTAATCCTGTAACAATCAAATCTTAACACATGAATTTTTGAAGAACATTGGAACCAAGCACCCATTGCCTAAGGAGAGGGAGGCGATCTAAAGCTCTATAATAACTGTGTCTCAAAGACACCTTCAACAGCCTTCCTTGTTTTATTCTTGGGTACCCTTAGGTCTAGCAGCAGCTGGTATGACCAGTTTCTAAGCTTTTGAGGAGTCTGTTGGATGAATGAAGGTTAGTTTTCAACTTTCTCCATTGCTGGGAGGAGTTTAGCCATCTGGAGTTAGCTAAATTCAGACATATTGGCCTACCTGCTTTCCAGCTTCCAGAGATTGTGTTACTGGGGTCCCCTTTCCTGTTCTCCCTGTCCTTGTGAAATCATGTCTTTACAAGGTGCCTTTGATGTGGGTTTATGGGCTTTGGGAGGCAATATGCACTCTGTGCATGTTTTAACCGGAACATTTCCTATCTGTTACAACCATGACACTCAGTAGATTGGCCATATTTTATTGAACTGAAACCCTCCCCAGTTGGATACCCAGTTTATCCCTGCCTTTTCCTTGTCAATATCAAGGTTGCCATGAATGTCCTAAGCACTAGGTCTTTCTCATTTGATTCTTCTTCTATGACAAACCAGCAAAGTAGATTTGCTTTAGACTGAATGTTGTGGTTTGCTATGGGCTGAATGTTGTGTCCCCAGAAGGTCTGCTCTCCAGTGTGCTGATATTTAAAGGTGGAGCCTTTGGAAGGTGATTAGCTCATGAGCTCAGAGCTCTCACAAATGGGTGCCAGTGGAGAGCAAACACGGTGACCTTTAGAGCAAACAAAAAACGCACTTCTGTGAGCTTCATTCACATGGCTATAAAAACATTTACATACAAAAAAACGCTAACTGCCTGTTGTCTATATTGTAGAGCAGTAGAGTAGTATCAGGCTAAAAAAAGCCAAGGTGTTTATCAGATTTCACCCAAAAAAGATCAGAACAATTACATGGTGCCAATCATTTTCACGTCTTCCGCGGATTGACATCCCCAAACAACCGGCTTCACATTCCATTTTCTTCTCCCATGTTCTGCCCTTTAGAAAGATGAACCTGAGGCTGGTTCAAGGTCACTGGCTTTTCATCCTAGAAGTCGGGCCCACCCGATCCTCACTTTGCTTTACTTGTATGTCTTTGTGTGTTTGATTTCTAACCCACAATCTCCCTACTCAAAAAATCCCATTCTTCCAAGCAGGTCCTGGCAAATGCCCTTATTTAAAAAGCAGCAAGAGGGGCCAGAAGGTGGCATGGTGGTTAAGGTGCTGGGTTTCTACATGACTGACCGTGGTTCGAATCCCAGACTCAGTGGCTTGAAAATCACACTAAGTATGAGTGTGCATGCTTGCCCAAAATCCCAAGAAGGGAATGGAGGAAAGTGGATTGTGAAGTGACCATCCTTCCTGGGGGAGGGAAGGTGATTTCTCACTATTCCTCTCTTTCTCTCTCTCTCTTGCAAGTGTGTACACCCTATGGCAAAAACCTAAAATTAAATAAAATTTTAAAAAAGCATGAGGGCCTAGAGGTTAAGGGAGCCAACTTCCACTATGAAGTTGGCATCCTGGCCCCAGAAGCCTGGGAAACATGGCAGGTGCTTAAATGTGTGTACCCAGAATCCTGACAATATGGAGAAATGCAGGAGAAGGGATTGCAGCGTCACCACACCCCGTTGGGGGTATTTCCTCCCTCTCTCTGGACTATCTAGCTAGTGTATGTGCCCTCTGGCAAAACGAATAACGAGAAGCAGGAGACACAGGATCAATCTCTCTCTCTCTGTTCTCTACCATGTGGGTATGCCATGAGAAGACAGCCAGCTGCAAACCAGGAATACCAGATCTGCAGGGCCCTTGTTCTTGATCTTCCTGCCTCCAGAACTGTGAGAAATAGATTTCTGTCACCTGTTTCCCCCAGCCTGCTGTATTTTGTTACAGCAGCCCCAAAGGACCAAGACATGACTGTACCCAGATCTTCTCATCACAAAGTGTGCAGTGTGTGTGTGTGTGCATGTGTATGTACAAGGCTCCTTAGGAGAGGCAGGCAGAACTTGAAGGATCAGGCAAAGGAGTTCTTAGAAGGACTGGAGGTGCCCAAGTGGTGGGCACCGGCCACAACCTGCTGGCTAACTTCGCAGCCAAGAGCTCTAACTCTGACCTAGCCTTACACTAAAGCTGGGAAGCTGGAGAACCCCGATTTCCAATCTGTGATCGTCACTAACCACTTGCCACCCCGTCTTTCAGCCAATGTCTACTCAGCTGTAAACTGAGGATAATAATAACACCTGTCCATCATAGCATTGAGGTGAGGTACTGAACAAGTTATGTCTGCAAAATATCCAGGGATTTGTTCAAAGGTGCAAAGATTGATTGGATGTCGATTACGGCAGGCACTGCGTCGGGCTTGTAGGAAACATATAAAGACAGCCGTGTTGACAGAAATTGTCCGGAGCCTCACATGCGACAGAGGAAGTGTAAGTTCCAAGTACTCTTCACGTGCTGGGTAGGGTAAATTCAACACTGCGCTGCCTTCTTCAGCCCGCTGAGGCCTCCTTGTGGGGTGGTCTCGCACTGTCCTTGGCTGCGGAAGTTTAAGTTAAGCGCGAGGGTCACTCCGCCCCGTACGCGGTGTTGAACGCTCTAGACCCCGACGGAACCGAAACTGCGGAACCTTCCTTCCCTCGGACACCACGGGCAGCCCGGCAGGAAAAGCGAAGGGACCACGCCGCGCAGCGCAGCCGCAGTCTGGCCCTAGTCGCCACGGTAACGCGCGCGGGGCGGAGTGTCACCATGAGCGTCCGGGTTGCGAGGGCAGCGTGGGTCCCGGCGTGGCGGGCCCGCTGCGGTCGCGGCACCTCGACCTTTCCGGCTCCCCCGCCGGGCGCCGTGGATGTAGCGCAGCTGCTGCGGGAAGCAACCTCGGCGGAGGAGGAGCCTTGGGGGGCGGCGGCACGGCGGACGCCGGACCAGTGCTCGGTGCTGCTCTTCCCCGGCCAGGGCAGCCAGGTGGTGGGCATGGGCCGCGGCCTGCTGGGCTACCCGCGCGTCCGCGAGCTCTACGCCGCCGCGCGCCGCGTGCTGGGCTACGACCTGCTGGAGCTGAGCCTGCGCGGGCCGCAGGAGGCCCTGGACCGCACCGCCGTGTGCCAGCCCGCCGTCTTCGTGGCCTCGCTGGCCGCGGTGGAGAAACTCCACCACCTGCAGCCCGCGGTGAGACCCGTGGCTCCGGGGTAGGCCGGGGAGGTGGCTCTGCCGGAGCTCGCGCAGCAGGCCCGAGTGCGCCCTCTCGGGCTCATTGGGCAGTGTTCCCGAGCTCCCGTCAGTGCCGCGCGCCGTGGCAGGCCCTGCGGAAACGGGGACCTCCGCGCTGGGGAAGCAGATGATAAACGATAAGCGTGCAGACTACGTGAATTACAGTGTGTAACGATGACGAGCGTTCGGGAAAGAATACCGAGCAGGGGAGGGGGGTGTAGAGGTGGAAGGCCCGGTTGTAATAGTGAACGGCCCTCGATCAGTTAATTTAATCAGCAGTAAATGAAGTGAGTTCTTAAAGGATTAAAGTTCATCCTTAGATGAGGGATCACTGGGAAGATAAGGTATTTGCGAATGTCACTGAAGTCGGAGATGGCCAGTTGGCTGCTGTCGGTATCTGATAGCATCAGGACAGACACCACAGTACTTGACACCTTTACCGGGTTTCACCTTCACAACCTTGTGAGGTAAAAGCCTTGTCCCAGGGATGAGGACAGGAGATTAGGAGATACTGAAAGAATTCCCGAAGTGTCCTGTGGTTGCAGAGCCCTGTCATCAGTTCACGGATGAGGAACAGCCGCATTGATTAGGAAACCACAGAGCTAAGGAATCCAGTCACCAGCCTCGAACGTCACACCCTGAACTTCCGCAGGTAGCAGGGTAGCAGCAAAGCGTGTGGCCTCAGGGGCTGGGCTTCAGCTTGCCTTCCCAGGGAAGTTGCTCCACTCTACAGGACTGGGCTCCGTGATTGTCAAGGCCCTTTAGTGCGTTCCCTTCTCACTGGAGCCCAGGCCTGTGGAACCTGCTTATAGGCACTGAGCTCTGGCCAGCTCTGGGGCGCAGAACTCAGAACCGAGCTCCCCCAGAATCTGGCCTCACGCTCTGCCTCTGTCACTGCAGGTTATTGAGAACTGTGTTGCTGCTGCTGGATTCAGTGTGGGAGAGTTTGCAGCCCTAGTGTTTGCGGGAGCCATGGAATTTTCTGAAGGTACACAGGAACCGTTTGGTTTCATGCAGGGGTGTGGTCTTGATGGGCTCACTGGGGACACTGCCAGAGATGATACTAAAAGCTGAGCATGGTGGCACTTACCTGTGGTCCTAGGTCCTTGGGATCCCGAGGCAGGATGATTATGGCATAGTGACTCAGAGCTCAAGGCAGCTGGATCCCACATGGCCCAGTGTGCAGTTCAAGTCCCAGACCTCATGGCTTGTGAAACAGCAGTCGTGTGTGTGCCCAAATTCCTGAGCGAAGAGGAGAAGGTATTGCAGCTGACCATTCCCTCTGGGGGGTGATTTCTCACTTTCCCTTTCTGTCTCTAGTGAGCTCACATACCCTACAGCAAAAACAAAACAAACGAAAAACAAAAGGAAAAGCTACCAACACACACACACACACACACACACACACACACACACACAGATAATAGTACTGGTGATGACAGTGGGATCCTGAGAACCAGATTTTTCTGATTCTTTTAAGCCTGGAGGATTCATTATGCATTTCTTTTGTGATCTCATGAAATCTTAACTGCCCATTTCTCTACTCCACTCACACACTCCAGCTTTTATCACAGGTGGTAGATGCTCAAAAGATGTTCATTGAATGAAAAAGAGTAAATGAACATTTGATTTGAGCCCTATCAGTTTTACTTATGTTTTGCTTATATTTAAATGTGGGCAAGAGACTTTAATAGACATTTCCCCAGATATACGGATGGTCAACAAGCAGGTGAAAAGTTACCCAACCTTGCTCATCATCAGAAAAATATAAATCAACACCACAGTAAGATATCACATCACATCACATCCAGTAGGATTCTTTCACTAAAAAAAAAAAAAAAAAAAAAAAAAGAGGGCCAATTTCGAGCATAGTGATTTAGGTGCTAGACTCCCACATGGTCAACCAGGGTTCGAGTCCCAGACTTTGAGGCTTGAAACTCATGCTGAGCACATGTGTGTGCATACCCAAAATCTCAGAAGGAAAGTGGAGAAGGAATGGATTTCTTAGTTTCTGTTTCTCTGGCTCTCTCCAACAAGTGCATGTACCCTGTAGCAAAAATATCTCTCTAAAAAAACTTTTTAAAATGAAAGAACTCTAATTTTTAAAATAACAATAAAATAAATAGTTATATTTTATGAGTCCTTGGGTTAATTTGTATAGTCCAAGAACAGTGCCTTGGGACAGCTGCTTCATGTTGGTTAAGGTGTTGGATCCCACATGACCAACTGCACAGTTCAAGTCCCGGATCTAGCAGCTTGAAAAATACTCTGGGCACGTGTGTACACATGCCCAGAATTCCTAGGGGAAAAGGTATTGTAGCATGGCCATACCGCAGCTTTTTCTTAAAGCATTATAGCACTATTGTGTTTTGTTTTTTTTTAGTTGCCAGCGGGTGCTTGCCAGAGAGAGGAGGAAGGGAGAGCACCTCTAGTGGAGCATGGTCATTCTGCAGTCCTTTCTCCATTTCTCTGTCCTGTCGAGATTTTAGACACACATACTGGTGCCTGGGGTGTTTTTCATGCTACCGGGGCCAGAATTTGAACTGCGGGTTCATCTCCTGTAGCCACTAGGCTGTAAGATTGGGCTGTATAGCACCACTAAGACAATAAAGAGCCCGGGAGCCAGCAGGTGGTGTGGAGGTTAAGGCCGGTTGTGCAATTTGGGAGCTCGCCTTGCAGCTTGAGAGTCACAGAAGGCGTGTGCGTGTGCATGTGTATGTGTGTCTGCCCAAAATCCAGATAGGAGGATGGAGGACTAAGAGATGGTGATATGGCCATCCACCCCCTTCTGGGGTGATTTCTCGCATTTGCTCCCCAGCCCACTGCAAGCACATGTGCCCTATAACAAACTAAAAAATATAAATAAATAATTGCATAATGTTAAAGAAAAATAATTCCCAATTTGCACAACAACTCAGTAGACTGGATATTACCCTTTATTATTTATTTTTTTGCCAGAGGAAAAGCACCCCCGTGTGGTGTGGTCACACCACAATCCTTTTTCCTCCATTTCTCCTTCCCATCAAGATTCTGAGCGTGCACACAAATATGCCCAGCATGTTTTTCAAGCCACCGGGCTGGGATTCAAACCATGGTTTGGCCACGTGGGATCTAGTTCCTAGTGCACAGCACTTAACCACTATACCACGGAGCCAGCCCTGTTATCCTTTGACCTGAAAGGAAACTGACTTACCCACACTATGTAGATCAGTGTCTGCCCATCTACCTTCCCCAGGCCTCTCAGCAGTGACACTGCTAACAGTTCACACAGGTCGTTATCTAGGGGCTGCCCTGTGCCTTATAGCAAGCTGAGCAGCACCCTGGCCTCGACTTCCTAAATGTCAGTGGTGTCCCCCCAGGTGGGACACCTAGGCACTGTCTCCAGACAGCACCCTCTGGCCACATCACCCACTTGAGAACCACTGCCCTACACCAACCCTGCTCTGAGGCCGGAAGTCCTTGAGTTAATTTGTATAGTGCCAAGAACAGTGTCCTAGGCCAGGTGATCTGTGGTGGTTAAGGCAGCTGAATTCCACATGACCAACTCTATGGTTCAAGTCCTAGATCTGGCAGTTTGAAGACACGCAGGCACATGTGCACGCACGCCCGAAATTCCAAGAGGAGAATGGAGAAGGTATTGTGGCGTGGCTATCTCCATAGTGGGGAGCTTCCCTACTCCTTCCCGCAAGTGTATTTGCCCTCTGGCTAGTTTTTTTTTTTTTTTTTTTTTAAAAAAAAAAAAAACCTCCCCCCCTTTTGGGCGTTAAAAAACCCTGCCCTGCTTTTGGGTATTGGCGGCACTAGCTCCTGGAGCAGATGCAAGTATAGCCCACATCCCTGTGGGCTGGGAAGGCACAGGGTATGACTTGGGCTTTATCTTTCAAGTCTGGTTGTTTCTCCTTAATGTTTCCAAATGCTCTTCTCTCTGGACAGGTTTGTATGCTGTGAAAGTCCGAGCTGAGGCCATGCAGGAAGCTTCAGACGCTGTCCCCAGTGGGATGTTGACTGTCCTTGGCCAACATCAGTCCAAGTTCACCGCCGCCTGCTTGGAAGCCCGGGAGCACTGCAAGTCTCTGGGCATAGAGGACCCCGTGTGTGAAGTGTCCAACTACCTCTTTCCTGACTGCAGGGTGATTTCGGGCCACCTAGAGGTTGGTGTTGAGGGAGCCGCCTGTATAGACCCCGTCCATTATGTAGTTCTGGGATTGCACCAGGGGCTCAGCAGAGGAGTGGAGTGGAGGGTGCTCTGCTCAGCATGGTCTCAGGAAGTACCTGGAACTGCAGAGGAAAGCAAGAGGCTGGGCTGTGCCCTCCCCCCCACCATGGATAGACAAGGGTCTTGGGCAAACTGCCCACCCACATGTACAGCAGAGCTGCTGAGCCAAGTGCTGCCCAAGGCCTTCGTATAGCACTTTCCGGGCTTCCCCCAAGCCTCTCTCTGCTTGCTCCCCCAGAGAAAGGAGGGCTGTTTCCTGCTGGGTTCCTCTTTCCTGCCTTCCCAGTGGTCTGTCTACACCTGAGATCATCCCCTCCTCCTCCTTTCCCTGCGTGGCTTCCCCAAACGAGCAGCTGCCCTGTGACAAGCAGTGGGGATACACAGACCGAGAAGTCAGGGTCTGTGCTGGCAGAGAGGCTGGTGTGAGTGGGAGCCCCCAGTCAGCCACAGAATGCACCCGCTGCCCACTGCCAGTCTGAGGAGGAAGAGGCAAGAGCCTCAGATGGCAAGGGCGGCTTGGTGCTGAGTGCCTGGCTCGGAATGCTGAGCAGTGTGGACGGAACCTGCGTGAGCTCTGCCCAGCAGGCATCTCCATGCCTTCCCGATGCACCTCCCAGGAGCCCTGAGCCTGGGAAGGGCCAGCCACACTGGACACAGGACCTGGGGCAGAGAGGCACGTGCTTGAAGATGCAGCAGCAGAGCTGGAGCACGAATCACGCCCCGGACTCTGCCTCCTCCACTCGCCCGGCTGTACTCAGCTCCTCTTTCTCTGGGGGCCATGCTCTGGCTGCCCTCCTGTGGCCTGCCAAGGGGGTGGGAAGTCTGCTGCCATGGCCCCATGCCAGCCACAGAGCTGGTTGCTCGTTCCCCTTGGCACCTGGAAAGAAGCCCAGGTGTCGGGAGGGCCCGGACAGGACAGGAGTCCCCTCAGGCTCCCACGGGCTCACATCCAGTCTGGGTGAGGCTGCACTCCCAGGGGCGTCCTTTTGGTACCCTTGGAAGTGCCACAGCAAAGGGCTTAGGGAGAGCAGGGGTACCCTGAACAGAGGAGCCCTCTCTAACAACTGATGTGGAAAAAAACTGCTTGTGGGGGTCAGCAGGTAGCATGGCGGTTAAGGCACTGGATTCCCACTTAGCTGACCGTGGTTTAAATCCCAGTACTGGCGGCTTGAAAATCATGCCAGGCGCGTGTGTATGTGTGACCAAAATCCCAGAACCATGGAGGAGAGGGGATTGTGGTGTGGCTATCCCCCTGGGGGTGATTTCTTATTTTCTCTCTAACATCTCTGTCTCCCTCCAGCAAGTAGATGCGCCCTATGGCAAAAACTTAAAAACAAACAACAAAACTTGGCCTCTATTGACCAGTCCCTGGGCTGAGCCACAGAGGAGCCTGCTGGACCCCAAGATTGTGGCCTTGACTCCCACAGCCCTACCTGGGACTGGGGTGGCTCAGCTGTTGAATGAGTCAGAGCCCTTGTCTCAGATCACAAATGCCACAGGAAGTGCCACTGATAGCCGCCCACGTAGATGCCAGTCATGAAGATAGTCCAGGCATGGTGGATAGCTTTCGGCTATAGTGATCAGAGAGGCTCTCAGCTCCTGGGTGTGTCCCCCAGGGAGATGGCGGTCAGCAGTCCCACAGAGCCCTTCAGCAGAGCGGGGGCACGGCCTGGGCGCTCCAGGCAGGGGTTTCTCAAGAGGATCTCCTGTCTTAGAGATCTTTGGGGTTTCGTTTGTTTGTTTTTAAAGAGTAATTTTATTTAAGTGTATTTATTTTAATTTGATCAGAGAGGGGCAGAGTGAGACAGAGAGGGAAAGTGAGAAAACAAGCTGCCAGGTCCAGGATTCAAACTGCAGTCGGCCATGTGGGAGTCCAGCTCCCTCAACCACCTGCTGGCCTCTTTAGAGATCTCGGTAAAGCATGCTTTTTGTCAACAGGTGCAAGAGTGTGGGCCTGTTGGCTAGCCCCGAGACCTGTTCTGAGCTGAGGTGCCCTTCAGGGAAAGGCTTTCCTGACTCGAAGGAGAGAGCTCCTTTGTTCAGCAGAGGACCCTCAGACAGGGGTGGTGACAGCTGGACTCCACTGGCAAAGAGGCCCATGTGGTGCAGTATGGCTTGGAATGACCTGAGTTTTTACCTTGAAGATTCTGGAGTAATAATTAGAAAACGAACTGGTTAAAAATGTCAAGTAAGGGGCAGCAGGTGGCATACTGGTTAAGGCACTGGACTCCCACGTGGTTAATCACTGTTTGAGTCCTGGGTTTGGTGGCTTAAAACTCACGCCAGATGCATGTGCATGCATGTCCAAAGTTCTGAGAGGAGAATAGAGGAGAGGGGATTATGGTGTGGCCGTCTCCCCAACGGGTGATTTCTTGTTTTCTGTGTCTTTGGCAAGCACATGCACCTATAGCAAAAATCACTCTTAAAAAAATAAATTGTGAGTGAGGAGCTAACAGGTGGCGTGGTGGTTCAGGCACTGGACTCCCACATGGTCAACCATGGTTCAAGTCCCAGACCTGACAACTTGCTTTCTCACTTTCCCTCCTCCCCATCTCTCTGGTGAGCACACGTGCCCTATAGCAAATTAAGTAATAGTAACAGTAATCGATAAAATTAAATAATACTTTTTTTTTTAAAAATTAGAAGTGGGCCAGCTCTGTGGTGCAGTCGTAATATACTGTTCAAGAGAAGCCAGGTTGGGGGACCAGCAGTTAGCGTAATGGCTATGTCGCTGGACTCCCATGTAGTCAACTGTGGTTTGCGTCCCGGACCCGGTGGCTTAAAACTCACGCCGGGCGCCTGTGCATGCGTGCCCAAGATCCCGAGAGGAGAATGGAGGAGAAGGGATTGTGGTGTGGCTATCCCCCCTGGGGGGTGATTTCTCGCTTTCTCTCTGTCTCTCTCTGTCTGTCTGGCGAGCACATGGCACACGTGCGCTATAGCAAAAACCTCTCCAAAAAAAAAAAAGAAAAAAGAAGAGAAGCGTTCTGGCTTCTGGTGGTGTGCTGAATGTGGCTAGATCCTACATGGCCAATTTTGTGGTTCGAGTCCCAGACCCAGTGCTTAAAAACATGCTGGACACATGTGCACATGTGCCCAAAATCTTGAGTGGAGAAGGGATTTCAGTGTGGTCATCCACCCTGGGGGCTGGTTTTCCAGTTTCCCTTCCTCTCTCTCTCTCTCTCTTCAGAGAGCACACATCCCCTATTAGCAAAACTAATTTAAAAAAGAAGGAAGGAGGGAGGGAGGGAGGGAGGGAGGAAAACAAGAAACCAGATCCCACATGGCAACCCTGTTCTGATCCCTAGCCCGGTCAGCCTGAAACGCGAGGCTAGTGTGAGTGCGCAAAGCAGATGGGCTGGAAGAAGGGGATCACAGTGCGTCCAGGCCCTGTGGAGGCTGCTTCCCTCTCACTCATAGTGCACGCTGATACTCAGCAGGA